CCAAATTCAGTTGGGCACCTTTATATATCCTCCAACAATGACGTCATGAGCAGGGACATGTGAAGTTAGTTTTTATAATGCCTGAAAAACTAGTTCAACCGAACAACCTATAAACTTGAACAATGTACGTTGCTCGCGCGCGCGCGCAAACACACACACATACACTTACACACATACACACACTTTTTTTCACTGATTACAGTCAAGCGTTTGATTCTGTCCACAATCAATGCTTTATGCATTTCCTGCAGAGTAGTGACATTGGCTTAACGGACATACCGTTTATAAGGAACCTAAATCGTCCAGAGATAGCTGCTGTTACAAAGAAGGGAAGTGTTTTGAGGAAATCCGGGCGCTGGCGCGAGACCATCACTAGGAAAGTCCAAATTCAAACCCAGGTGTTGTCTATCAGCGATTACGGAAAGGCAGAAGATGAGGTCCTGCGGCGACGCCGAAAAATAGAAGACCCGACTGTGGCTCTTGAAAAGATGGGTTTCAAACAGGATTAAACAAACGAGGGTACAATGTAAGAAAGCCAAGGCAACAGAACCTAAAAATGATTTAGAGAAGACGATAAATATTTACACATGTATGCATACATGAACACACACACACACACACATCCATATATTATATATATATGTATATATATATATCCGGAGCCGGAGTCTCTAGGGCAGTTCCTTTTCGGTCTTTGCCTTGGGATCAAACAGCTCGGTGGAAAGAGGGAGCCTGCTGTAAGGGCAACAGCTTGCTCCTCACATTCTTTCGACCAGGCATTGACAGAATCAATAATGCCAAAGTTGACATCGACTGATGGTGGTCATGTTATATCTATATATATCTATATCTATATATATATCTATATCTATATATATGTATATATATATATACTTACACACACACACACGTATATATGTATATATACGTGTGTATAAAGATGAAAGGAAAACTGCCACAGTAAGAAATGAATAAAAATCGTTTATCTATTAATTTCTTACTGTGGCAATTTTCCTTTCACACACACATATATACATATATACGTATATATATATCGAGAGAGAGAGAAACACAAATATATATATATACATACATATATATATATACAGACAGATAGATATTGTAGATATACATATTTAAGAGTGTGTAAAACCTCGCCTTCGTTACACTATTAGTACATAGATAATGTCTATGCAGCCAGTGAGATCCTCCTGGCAGACTCCTTTTAGTGGGTCGTGTGTGTATATATGTGTATTTGTGTGTGTGTGTGTGTACACACACAAATATATATGTATATATATATGTATATATATATATATATATGAATATATATATATGTGTGTGTGTGTGTGTTTATGTGTGTGCGTGTGCGCGCGCGTGTGTATAAATTTACAAAATGAATAAACACAAAATGTATCATTAACATATCTATAATAGTGTGAGGGTCTAAAGTCAGGGGGGGGGGGGGTTGTGAATCATCTCTTTTCATGAAAACATATTTGCGAGTGGCGGACCGAAGGGACTATCCACTTCATTATCTTGTTTATATGATTTGCCACCTGAGAAAGATGTTATATCTTCAGTGGCAATACCCAGCAATTTTTAAATTGTATTTTATTTAGGTTATTTACGTGAGTGTTTTAGTTAAACAGTGTCAGTGATGATTGCAATGATTTCAACAAGAGGGACATTTGTGAATAGATTGGTAATATGAAAACTTGTCATTATATAACTGTCCTGTTCATAAGACATATTGCCCTCGTAATGCTTTCTGCTATTAGCACTATAAATCATAATATTTCAAAATATTCTGTTCCTTTCCTTCAATTAATTTACAATACATGATAATTTACTTTATTAGATATCTAATATCTGATATATTTTTGTATGTACGTATGTGTGTGTGTGTGTGTATTTATACACACACACATATATATAAACATATATATATATATATATAAATATATATATATACACATATATATAAATATATATATACATATATATAAATATATATATATATAATATATATATATATATATTATATATGTATATGTATGTATGTGTGTTTCTTTTCTGTGTATGTGTGTGTTGATATGTATTTGGCAGAGACGGAGACATGAAATGAGTGTTTGCTAGAAACACACGGCATCTGTGCTTGTACGTCGTTGTTTTTTCGGAGCATCGCTGAGACCCGAGGAGAGTCAGTTCTAGCTTCACAGATAGTTTCACAGAAGAAAGGTTGCAGAATGGAATGTCTGGGGGTTTGATGGGGCAAGTAGAATTTTGTGATATTTTTGGCCGAAAACTATTAACCACATGATCGGATGTGACCGCAGACCTAATGAACTAGTCTCTAAGGCTGTCCAACATCACTTCTCGGTCTTGTCATGCAACTCTCCACGAGTCGAACATAGCCACCAGAGTCGCTGTTGACCTGTTCGTCGTTTGGCATTTGTCTCTCTCGCCGCCCGTGGATCTGCAGGTCGTGAGTCGTACCATGGAACAAGCAGTAGTGGCTAATTTTGAAGTAATTCTGCGAATCGAATTTTCTGCTGAGAAGTCTCCAGCAGATATTGATTATTTTGTTGTCCACATTTAGGCAAATCAACGATTACCAAATCAGAAATAGAGAAACATATGTTTCCACATGTATGAATCTGTTTATTTCATTTTAATTGTTTTATTACGTAGGTCTTCAATTATCTTCTTAACTGGGCTAGGGAGAACTTCAGTGGTATTTGTTTCACCTGATATGTGTCCGTATGAAATGGCATTTATATCGTTTTAATCCAGAGTTTTGAGTGATAATTATTCATAAATCTGTATGATTGTTCATTTCAGATCTTATTTTTGAATGCGAATGTTTTCCCTTTTGCATTTGTTAGGCATGCATCGCCTGAAACATACGAGAAAGTGGTCATAAATAAATATATTTTCAAACTTCATTGGCATAAGCAGAAGCTGTAGAACAATAACTAGGAATTTTACCCATAATTTCGCGAAAAGGATATTGTTTTTGTCTTCCGACCAGACTACGACTCTGCCTAACATTTTCTTGGTCTGCTGAGACACATTCGTCCTTGTAGTTAATAAACTCCACGAAAACTTGGGGCTGACGTTGTTACTCATGTGGTTACGTATATATATATGTGCATGTGCATATAGGTGGATAGGTTTTCGCTTATGTATGTATGTGCATTTGTATGAATATGTATATGTATCAGTATATGGATATGTATATGTACCCACACACACATATGTATGTGTATATGTGCGTGCGTATATATAGACAAATATAAGCTCACACACACACACACATATATATATATAGATATCTCTCTCTCCCTCTCTCATTCTTCTAGGCCTCTGTCTCTGTTTGCCTGTGTGTCTGTCTATCTGTTTGTCTTTCTTTTTTTGTCTTTCTGTCTGTCTACCTGTTTATCTGTCTGTCTGTTTGTCTTTCTGTGTATCTGTCCAAAGAAGTTTGCGCAAACCCGAAAGCAAGCTCAGTTTTAGATCATGATGAGTATTCTGAGGATGATTTGTATGCGGAGAATCACTCCTGCTAAGATACAGTGGCGGCCAACGTGAAAATATCACCATATCATTTATCATTTTAAATATATATATTATAACCCGCTACACAAGTACCGATTCCGGAGGGAGCGTCCTCCAAATTGTCCGATGTGGTTCGACCATGGGAACTTTAAACGCACTTGCATCCTGTAGTAATAATGACGCACGTATCAAGCCCAATGTTTTACAGGCGATATTAAGATAGAAAGGGCACATTCTGGAGCATTAAGAAACATCTCACCTTTAGTATGGCAGGAATAAGAAATTATAAAATATTTCCATGAACGATGGAAATTATTTTTACTATGGTTCTTGCATTTAATGTCATCATCAAAGGTTTAGTATAAACTAATAGTTTTGTATGTGTGCTGATAGAGAATGTCAAGACAATCATTTTGATTTGTAACACGTATGTTTTGCTTAATATAATTCGTGTAATAACAAAGGAAGCGATGTGACTATATATATATTTTCCCTTTTAGATAGAAAATAGTCCATTTATTATTATGACCTAGAAGTAGTATTCTGTTTGTGATACCACAGTTTAGGAGTTCACGCTACCTGAGGGTAGTGCCTATCTTACAAGTCTTTTCTGTAGAATTAGCTGCTGGACTATAATGATAACCTTTTTATAGTATGCCATTGCGGGTAGGCTGTAATAAAACGAAAAAAAACAATGTCAACCACTCTCACAGCATTAGTTTCCCGCTTGTGTTTAATTGTAAGGATTACTGTTTCTATTTTTACAATTTGTGGTCTGAAAGAGTTGGTTGGGAGTCTTATCCTACCTCTACTTTGTGAATTGTGGCAGCTGCAACTTGTTCGTATGAATTTTTTTTTCAAGTTTAGTGAATGCCGTTAATATCATTCGTATTAATTCCGGAATGCAAACTAAGTTCTCTGTCTGCTTTTATTAGTTTAACTATTTGTCCGTGTTTTAAGTCTTTTTACAACAGGAATTTGCTCTTTTTATCAGGGTTTTCAGGGAACATGTCAAATGTATTATTTTTAAGAATTTTATATAAGTCATTTCTATCTGGTGTGTCTCTCGCTTGATGTTATCGTTTATCCATGGAGCAGGAGGGCGTCCACCAGTTTTGTAACAGAGCAATATTGTCTATACTTTTTCATTACTTTATTACTTATTGTATAGAGTGAAATGTAATCAATCATAACTTTCTCGTGGAGGAAAAAAATTGAAAAATAGAAAGCCTTCTTATCATTTTACGCTTTTCCTAAAGTATAAGCGAGTGTAAGTATTAGCTCTCCATTATGAAAAGGCTTCTCTGGAGAACAAAAATATGTTCGGTCAGTACTATACTGGCCTCCTTATTGCAAACCAATTGAAACAATGGTCGATGGTCTGGGTAGACTCTGTTTTAGATTTTGAGTCGAATTTTACCAATAAAAGCAAATTTATTTGTACTAAATATTATTTTTGTAAAACACAATTTTACATAAATTTACACAATCTACAGAACCAATTATATATTCAATATCTTTCGAAAAGTACTGTCAATGAGAATGATACGATTAACAGAAATAAATCGGTTACATGAAATTTCCTTATCTTCTAAAGTAAAGGCAGGCAGCGACTCTCAAAGTTTGAAATGAAAATGGAGGTAGTGTGCTTTTAAAGTTGCAAAAACCGATCATTCCTAAATTCCTTTAGACAGTCCCGAAGCCCGGGGAATCTCTTGGATATCACTAACAAGAATGTCTACCAGCCGTGTCCATAGCTTGGCTGGTGTCCGTAACTTGGCTGGTGTCCGTAGCTTGGCTGGTGTCCGTAGCTTGGCTGGTGTCCGTAGCTTGGCTGGTGTCCGTAGCTTGGCTGGTGTCCGTAGCTTGGCTGGTGTCCGTAGCTTGGCTGTACCGGTTTCTGCACAACGTAGACAGGGCGGTAAACTACAGGCCTAGCAACCGGCCTAGGCCTGTAACTCTGCTTCTTGTAACCTTTCTTTTTGAAGGGATCAGCGGCGGGGTTGGCGGCGCTGAGGACCGCCGACAGCACCACCAGGAGGACGAGGAATAAAACGGACTGTTTGGGAGAGAAAGGCAAAGTTTCTTTTTACATAAAGAAAAACGTCTATATGTTTTAACTCACACAAACACACAGACATATATGTGTGTGAGTGTGTTCATGTGTATATATGTATATACATTACACACATACATAAATATATGAATATATGTATACATATATGCATTTATTTACAGATGTATATATATATATGCATATTCATGTATAAATATATATATGCATATTCATGTATAAATATATATATGTGTGTGTGCGTGTGTGCGTGTGTGTGTGCGTGTGTGTACATACATGTAAATGTATATATGCATGTATATACATACATATGCATATACATATATTGTATACATATATGTATACACTATATATGTATATATATATACACATATGTCTGTGTGTGTGCATATATAAATATATGTATTTGTATATATATTCTATATACATATGTATACACACACATATATAAATACGTAAGCGTATATATGTATATATATAAATATATGTATATATATATATATGCATATATATAATCAAACACACACACACACAAACATATATATATATATATATATACATATATATACATACACATATATACGCATATATAGTATATATACATACACATACATGCTCAAGCGCACACACATACACAAATATATATATATATATATAAACATGTTTATACATATATTTTTTTATATACCTACCCACCCTCACGCATACACACACACACATATACATATATGTGTGTGTGTGTATGAATGTGTTTGTTGTACACACACACATAGATGTATATATATATATTACATATATTATATATTTATATATATATTTATATATAATATGTATAATGTATATATATATATACATATATGTGTCTGTGCGTCTTTGCGTATATATCTGATATTATACAAGAAGGAGCCTCATCACATTTTGTTTTTACGTGCGGTTATCCAACGACACTATTCCATGAACATGTAATACAAAGAGTATCTGCTTGTAATGTTCAGCGCCACTTACAGTCTTCATCTTGACACTATCGTCTCCAACTTCCAGCTGAGCTCGACTGCACTAGCCAAATTCAGTTGGGCACCTTTATATATCCCCCAACAATGACGTCATAAGCAGGGACATGTGAAGTTAGTTTTTATAATGCCTGAAAAACTAGTTCAACCGAACAACCTATAAACTTGAACGATATACGTTGCTCGCGCGCGCGCGCAAACACACACACATACACTCACACACACATACACACACACTTTTTTCACTGATTACAGTCAAGCGTTTGATTCTGTCCACAATCAATGCTTTATGCATTTCCTGCAGAGTAGTGACATTAGCTTAACGGGCATACCGTTTATAAGGAACCTAAATCGTCCAGAGATAGCTGCTGTTACAAAGAAGGGAAGTGTTTTGAGGAAATCCGGGCGCTGGCGCGAGACCATCACTAGGAAAGTCCAAATTCAAACCCAGGTGTTGTCTATCAGCGATTACGGAAAGGCAGAAGATGAGGTCCTGCGGCGACGCCGGAAAATAGAAGACCCGACTGTGGCTCTTGAACAGATGGCTTTCAAACAGGATTAAACAAACGAGGGTACAATGTAAGAAAGCCAAGGCAACAGAAACTAAAAATCATTTAGAGAAGACAATAAATATTTACACATGCATGCATACATGAACACACACACACACACACACACATCCATATATTATATATATATGTATATATATATATATATATCCGGAGCCGGAGTCTCTAGGGCAGTTCATTTTCGGTCTTTGCCTTTGGATCAATCAGCTCGGTGGAAAGAGGGAGCCTGCTGTAAGGGCAACAGCTTGCTCCTCACATTCTTTCGACCAGGCATTGACAGAATCAATAATGCCAAAGTTGACATCGACTGATGGGGGTTATATTATATCTTCATCTATATATATCTATATCTATATGTATGTATATTTATATATATTTATATTTATATATATATGTATATATATATATACATATATATCTTATACATACACACACTCACACACACACACATATACACACACACACACACACACACACACACACATATATATATATATGTATGTATATATGTATATTTATATATATATCAACACAAACACTGTAACGTGTACACAAAGAGGAAAGGAAATCTGCCACAGTAAGAAATGAATAAAAATCGTTTATCTATTCATTTCTTACTGTGGCAATTTTCCTTTCACACATACATACATATATATATATATATATATATATATATCGGGATAGATAGAGGTAAACACACACACACACACACATATATATATATACAGATAGATAGATGTATATTGTAGATATGCATATTTAAAGTGTGTAAAACCTCGCCTTCGTTACACTATGAGTACATAGGTAATGTCTATGCAGCCAGTGAGATCCTCCTGGCAGACTCCTTTCAGTGGGTCGTGTGTGTATGTGTGTTTGTGTGTGTGTGTACACCCACATACACACACACACATACATATATATATATATATATATATATATATATATATATATATTCATATATATATATATATATATATATAAATCATACATATATATGTCTGTGTGTATATTTATATGCGTATATATATATATATATATATATATATATATAGTCATATATGTACATTTATACATATATATATAGTCATATATATACATATAGAAATAAATTCATATACATACATACATATATATATGTGTGTGTGTGTGTGTGCGTGTTTATGTGTGTGCGTGTGCGCGCGTGTGTGTATGTGTGTATGTGTGTGTATAAATTTACAGAATGAATAAACACAAAATGTATCGTCAACATACATATAATAATGTGAGGGTCTAAAGTCGGGGGGGGGGGTTGTGAATCATCTCTTTTCATGAAAACATATTTGCCACTTCATTATCTTGTCTATATGATTTTTAAATTGTACTTTATTTAAGCCATTTACCTGAGTGTTTTAGTTAAACAGTTTCAGTGCTGATTGCAATTATTTCAACAAGAGGGACATTTGTGAATAGATTGGTAATATGAAAACTTGTCATTATATAACTGTCCTGTTCATAAGACATATTGACCCCGTAATGCTTTCAGCTATTAGCACTATGAATTATAATATTTCAAAATATTTTGTTTCTTTTCTTCAATTTACAATACATGATACTTTACTTTATTAGATATCTAATTTCTAATATAAGTGTGTCTTTGTCTATTCAACAGACACACACAATATATATATATACATACATATATACATTTATAAATATATATATGTGTATATATACACATATATATATATATATATATATATGTATGTATATGTGTGTGCTCCTTTTCTGTGTATGTGTGTGTTGATATGTATTTGGCAGAGACAGAGACATGAAATGAGTGTTTGCTAGAAACACACGGCATCTGTGCTTGTACGTCGTTGTTTTTTCGGAGCATCGCTGAGACCCGAGGAGAGTCAGTTCTAGCTTCACAGATAGTTTCACAGAAGAAAGGTTGCAGAATGGAATGTCCTGGGGGTTTGATGGGGCAAGTAGAATTTTGCGATATTTTTGGCCTGAAAACTATTAACCACATGATCGGATGTGACCGCAGACCTAATGAACTAGTCTCTAAGGCTGTCCAACATCACTTTCTCGGTCATGTCATGCAACTCTCCACGAGTCGAACATAGCCACCAGAGTCGCTGTTGACCTGTTCGTCGTTTGGCATTTGTCTCTCTCGCCGCCCGTGGATCTGCAGGTCGTGAGTCGTGCCATGGAACAAGCAACTGTGGCTAATTTGAAGTAATTCTGCGAATCGAATTTTCTGCTGGGAAGTCTCCAGCAGATATTGATAATTTTGTCCACATTAAGGCAAATCAAATCAGAAATACAGAAAAGTATGTTTCCACATGTGTGTATCTGTTTATTTTATTTTAATTGTTTTATTACGTCAGTCTTCAATTATCTTTTTTCCTTTCTTTTTAGATAAATGTGCATTTTCGCTTCACAATGAAGTAATTCCTTTTTGAATAATTCTTAACTGGTCTAGGGAGAACTTCAGTGGTATTTGTTTCACCTGATATGTGTCCGTAAGAAATGTCATTTTATATGGTTTTAATCCAGAGTTTTGAGTGATAATTATTCATAAATCAGTATGATCGTTCATTTCAGATCTAATTTTGGAATGCAATGATTTCCCCTTTGCTTTTGCTAGGTATGCATCGCCTGATACATACGAGGAAAATGGTCATGAATATATATATATATATATATATATATATATATATATATATATATATATATTTTCAAACTTCATTGGCAAAAGCAGAAGCTGTATAACAATAACTAGGAATTTTACCCATAATTTCGCGAAAAGGATTTTTTTTTTCTTCCGACTAGACTACGACTCTGCCTAACATTTTCTTCGTCTGCTGAGACACCGTCCTTGTACTTATGCAACTCGGTACCGATCAAGTGTCTATTCAACTAAATCCACAAAAACTGAACAAGTGCAAGGTCGGAGTTCGGCATCCGGGTCCGTCGTCAGCTGTGAAACCTAAACTGTTTGGTGTCGGTGAGAGTAAATCCTTGAGAATAAATTATGAAGTTGTGCATTAATTTCACTGAAGAAGATTCTCCTGTTATGAGTGACATCTGTTATGCATGTGTGAGAAAGTGATATATCTCCTTGAGCAATTTTACTGTTGAAATTGGTATAAGTAAAAACATATTACGTCCTGATTATTTTTTCAGTATATCCTTATGGATATATGTACTATCCTACAAGAAGGCGCTGGTCTGAAGAATTTTATTTATGTAACCCATTTATATCCTAAACTAAATAAAGTGATTAAATTTGAATTTGAATTTTTGCATGCACAGTTGAGGGGCCATATAAAGGTTGCGTTAAGGTCCAACTTATGCATTATCCCTATGCATGATTTTAGAGGTTCTTGTTCTTTGTTAATATACCGAATTTAACTTTCTAAAAGGAGAGATGTGTATTCCAGTACGGCCAGTTTTCTTTTTACGCGATACTTTCATCAATCTGATATAATCTTATTTGACAGAAATTATCTGATTTCCTCGTGGGTTTCACTAACACCATTATGTTTAACGACGAACCGTATTCATTGTGACAAATGTAGAAAAGGTATGAATGAAATTCAATATCTTTACAATGCAAAAGCTGTATTTAATTGGTTTCGATTACATACTCGTCAGAGATACATGCAGATATAATCGAAACCGGTCAAATCCTTGTATTGTGAAGGTATTCATTCTCATCCATACCTTTTCTAAATCACCTGTAACCTCATGTCATGCGTATTT